TTTTGATGGCATAAACGGGACTGCGTCTCTCGATGATAGTTTATAATGCTCCCCATTTTGGAATGAGTTCCCGTGAACCTGAACTTCATCTAAACCTTTACTTCCTTTCTCTACACTTTACCTGATCTCTGACTGCAAAGGTTGTACATCCCATTTTTTATTTCTGTTAGATTTCGCAGTGTCCATCTTCTGTTTATGCCTTGCATTCCTGATAGCTTCTTTCCGTTCCGTTCGCAATCTCGTCATGCTCCCCTCTTGGTGAAGAGGCCAGGTCGTGCTGTGTATTGATAACCATGGTTTCCTCCCATATATCAACTGGAACGGTGACCTCTCTGTTGTTTCCTGGGTGGAAGCACGATGTATTAGCAAGGTCTGTGGAAGGTGTGTCCCCCAGCTACCTCTCTTCGAGGCCAGCCAGTCCTTCAGTGTACTGTTGTCTCTCTTTGTTAGACCATACGTTTATGGATTATATGGTGTTGTTCTGATCTTTTTGATGCCTAGCTGTGGCAAACGGGAAGTGAATTCTTCGCTTTCAAAACAAGGGTCCTGATCAGTCAATATCGTCTTTGGTACACCATAGTCTGCAACGGTTTGTCGAACTACTGCAGCACTGACAGTCACCTACTGCCGTAACCAGAATCGACTGCGGAGACGGTCGTATACACCGATCTCCTTTCATCAACTGACTCTGCGACATCCAAGTATATATTTTGCCACATCTCCTTTGCCTGAGCAGTAGGTGCTTTGTCTCAAGACGTCTGTTGTTCTTGCTACCCCTGTATGCACTAACTGGTGGTATTCTTGTATCATCTCATAGCTTAGAGACTGAGGTGTTACCGCAAACCAGCTTCCATCGTTCTCTCTCCAAGCCAGAGTTCCGTAGACCTACACTCGTAGTCAATATTTCTGTCTGAGTAGCATGGTCAACTCCTTACTCGGAGTAGGTTCGTTTACTTCTGTTTCGTTAGTGATCACCTGCATTACTGTATTTATGGTAGAGTCTGATTTCTGACTGCGGACATGTCTTATTGGGTCTTGTTCCAAAGCATACACTCCTTAAACAATCTCCGGTAACCCAGCTTCGTCTTGTGGTCTAGATAAAGAATCTGCCTAAACATTTTATTTTGCCAGGGACGTTTGAGATGTTGAAGTCCTACGCCTGCAGGAGCAGCATCCATCGCGACAATTCCCCATGTGGGTCTCTCACTGTCCTTAGGAACTGTAGCGGCTCATGATAAGTTTCGATGTGGCCGAGGAAGTACGGTCTCCATTTGTCTACTGCCCATAATACCGCTGAACATTCATTCTCCACCGTTTAATGCTTCTGCCCTGTGTATGTTGAAACACGACCGGCATATCTGACAAATTTTTCACCCTATCTAAGCACTTCAGCCATGCCGTGGTCACTGGCATCTGTGCACACTGTGAACTGTTTTCTGGGTACCTGTGGCTTTAGCGTCATTTGCTGGTGGTCTGAAAGCCATTTAATGCAGTCGAATATCTTCTGAGAATCTTCCGACTGAACAGTCTTCGACTCACCTAATAGCATGTACGGGGGGCTGCTATCTCGTTGAAGTTTTCCACGAATCGGTCGGTGGCACAGTGGTTAGGACTCTCGCCGACCATGCACATGGTCCGGGGTTCGAGCCCACGCCGACGCACACCTGATATCTATGGTCGGCCTGCAAAATTTGGGCTACCGATATCCATGCTGAAAGTTCCATACTTGTACCAAAAATACGGTGTGGAATCAAGCTGTATATCAAAAAATAAAAAAATAAAAAATAAAGTACTACTCTCCCCTGGAACTGCCTTAGCTTTCTTTTGGAATTCGAGGCCATCATATTCTTCGTCGTAAAGATTTTCCCCATCAGTGGTTTATCTCACCGTTACCTATTTGATTATGCCACAGCGTAACACTGCGTTTGTCTATCTGAAATTTTATTTTGTTAATGCGCGATCCTAACCCTTCAATGCACCTTGAAAACGACTTCTTCATATTCCACATAGTCACTTTCAGTGTGACTGTAGATGAAAAGATTGTCAGCTTACAATTTCACGTCCTTCAAGCTTTTAAGCAACAACGTCATCGGTCGTCTGAATGTAAACGGCGCACTTGCTAGTCCAAACGGCATACATGATATTGTTTTATGCCCCAAAATGAACGCTGTCTCAAATCTGTCGCTCTGTTTTTATCGGTATCTAGCAGTATCGGGACTTGAGGTGAAGAACTGTAAACAGATTGGCACTTTGTATCCGATCAAAGGTTTCTGCTACAGTAGCATGACTCACGATCTCAGTTCTGTTAAGCTTTTGAATTCTCGGAAACCAAGGCAAAATCAATACTTCCCATTGCCTTTTATCACAGGAAGAACTGGAGAGTTATATGGCAGTCAGCCCCTTTAATAATATCATGCTTTGTCACTCAACTTCTCCTTCCAAATGGCATCGAACTCTTCGCATTGTGAATGTCGTCACTCTCCGATCCGTCACAGAGATTTCTGGCTTCAACTTGTCACAATAACCGTACAGGTCTGCATGCCTCGTGAAACGATGATCGTATATTCTAACTGAAACGGTTATATTCTGCATTTTAAACGTCTCTATTCCTTTATCTCATTGTTCTTATGCATTCTGATAGATCCATATCTTGTAGTTACGATCCTTTCCTTTTTATTGATTGCGGCTCTTACTTCCCACAGAATCTCAGCCTCCAGGATTGTTCGCCGTAACTGAGATACAACAGTGAATGCGGACGTTACTTTGTGTTACATTGCGACCTCCAACGTGAACGTTGCATTCTGACACGCCTGTGACTTTTTACACACGACCCTCTATAATCTAAACTGCCAAAGAACACGGTCTGATATTCTGACATAGATTTGCATCTACAAATGAGACTACCTCTCCTGTATCTACTAAACATAGAATATCTTGATCATTTACTCGCAACCTAGAATAAATAGCCCACCTCTCGACTACCCCTATTACTACTAGTCTTATCGCAGGAAAAGAAGACACATTATATTATTTGAAGCTTTTCTTTCCGGCAGTATTTCCTTCAGTGTCCTGATTTGCCACACTCAAAGCATTGGCCTTTTGCGGTACTCATTGGTAAAGCCGCTGCCTCACACTGCAAATCTTCCATTTTTAATGTCCTAATTCATTCGACTTCGATAACTCTACTGCTGCAACCAGTGTGCTCAACCGCTATCTGGTCACCTTTGCTAGCTCACCGATGTCCATAGGTTGTGCAGCTCTAACCAATCGTAGTTTCTCAGAAATGTGGTCCGAAACACTCTCGATGAACTGGAAAGTCAATAACTGGGACTATGACTCTTCATCCAATGTGGGGAGTGCACGACGTAGTGGATTCGTCAGTTTCACTGCCAACACTAATGGTTCTCTTTCCATCCCCAGCTTTGCGACGCGGAAATGCTGCATTGCCAGCTGCCTGTCCGTTGGGCTGTCAAACTCCGCCACCATTCGTTCAACCAATACCTTCGAGATCTCTTCATTACCTGACCGCTCCACACTGTCGTACGCTGCCTTTGTCCTATCTCTCAACGACGCCTTCAGCACAATCGCTTTCGCCGTTGGATCTTTGACGTCAAATTTATCTCTCCGTTATTTGATATTTTTGTAAATCACTTCTTACATAAATACTTCTCATTTATTGATATATTAGGGAAGACCATCAAGAAAAGAGGAATGGGATGAAAATTATTTGGTAATTTCAGGGGATCATCAACACTAATCTCTTTTATACCAACTGTATTTCTGTAGTTTGTTACCATGCTATTTATTCACGGGTTTCGCAAGATTTTTTACCACCTAGTTACAGTATGCGTAATTTAAGGGTTATATTTCGAACAGTAATAAATCGTTAAGATTTAAAGGATTCAATTCGCTAACATCCTTTTTATTCTATTGACTAATTAGTTGTTGTGGCAGCATGAATGAATTAGGCCTTCTTGTACGCAAGTGTACGCAGTTGACAGTGATCATCCCACATCATATAAGAGCTCCTATTACCACTTGGTAGTCTAAAGTTGTGTGAATAAAGCAGATTTTGAAGCGGTGACCACTTCACTGAATGCAGTATGTCTCACTCAACTATCTATGACTTCAAGGTAGTTTTGTAGCCATGCTGTCTTTCCTTATAAATATTGAAATCTCGACGTAGTGTCCTTTGGTGTGTTTTTCCTAACAGATAAAACGAACTACTAGTGAAACTTATCGTCTTCAATGTGATATTACCGTCTTATATTTGAAGTGAACTAGGTGAGACTCCTAGAATGGCAGGTTATTTTAAGTATGTAAATATGGGAAAACGATATTCAATTGTTAGTTACCGAATATGTAAGGAATGTTGATTTTGCAATTTGGATGAATTTATGAGGTTGGATTTACAAATGAGAATAAATATACCCATGTATTATCAGGCGTTTGATTTGATTAGTTGCCTGTTTGATCACGAGCCGACACTGGAAGTCTAGAGAGCACTGGAGAGTCACAAACAAGGACGAAACAGCTAACCAGTACTCTCTAGTTTTCCATTAGTTCTCTAACTGATGTCAGCTCGTTATCAAACCGACACCGATATATGATAAAGATTTCCCAATAGTTACTGAGCAGCCAGTAGACTTCTAGGCCTTCCTCACAAATACCACAAGGGCTAGTGATGTTGTTACGCCATCCTGCACATATAAATATACAATTTCCGTGCCACGCCGCTAGTTGGTAGACATTTCGGAGGATTGTGAAACATTGATTTCTGCACCAGTGTTTGAATTATAATGTCCGCTCAGTAAGACTTGCCAAGGTGCAAGTGCACAATGCAGAATAGTTTCAAACCAGAACGAAACCACTATTTGAAACTTTTCTTGTGCCAGTGTTTTCTAGTTGGTACTGCTTTACTTTGAAAACTACTTCAAAATGATGAACATTGTTTGCTGTTTGTCTAATTTCTCTTTTTTACTTTTAAAATTTCACCTTAGGCACCGACGACGATTATGAGATCTGGATACCACACTCAAATGAAAAAGGTGAAAAAGATGGTTGTCTCCTTGGAGTTCGAGAACAGTTCAGACGGCTTAAAAAGGATTCTCTGTAAGCCAGCTAAACAATTGTTAATGTTACTTATTGTTGTTGATATAAGTTTAAGTAAAACGTTAGGATGTTAGATATGTTTTACTAGGTACTCAAAGTTGTGTAATAGTGTAATATCTCCTGATGATTTGACATGTGTCTAAAAGAAACATTTATGATTGGACATCATTGCTTTTAATAGATGAAAAGGTCTACTTTCCTATTCTGTTCTTCACATCAGTTATTTCAAAGGTATCAGTGTTCTCCCAACTCTTTCAGCCTCTTGACATTTGCACCTCGTCAATCACATACACATCAATGTACTGGGCAAAAAGCCTTATGATATGAATTGGAGTTCTAAACAATAATCTACCAGCTGAAAATTAACTGTTCCAAACTAAATAGCCATATCATTTAGTTCAGTTTTGATCTTCTCATCGATTGACTGGACCGAAGTGCTTGATCTCAGGTTGACATATCGGCTCCTTGTGCAGATGCGTCGACGATGTTTGTTCATGTAACTTGAAGTCAACTGGTACATCCAGATGACGAATTCCAAAAAGGATGAAATGCGCATCCTGGATTCCATTGCTAGTCACCATCCACCAACTGACTTAAAATAGCCATATCTCTAAAAATACTTATATCAATCAAATTAGCCTGATTTTACCAATTCGTCGTATGTTTAGATATTTTACTCTTATTTTCCCTTATTGAGTGGGTTTGCAGACGTACATACTCCAGTAAGAAGTGAAGTTATTACTCATAATAGCTATGTGGAAAATTTACTACTCTAGGTTAGTAGTAATAGTATTTCATATTGGCCAGTTAACATTTTTATCTTACTGAAACAAAAATATCATTCTCTCATGACGTTGACATTTTACTGTTAAAATTGAATATAAATTCTATGGATATACATACGATTTTGAATGAAAAAAAAAGAAATATATGCATATATATTTGACAGAAACGTGTTATTTCCCCTCCCAGCTTTCATTCATTTTTCTGTAAGTATGTGTACATTTGCATACTGTATTAAACAGTCGTTTTTTGTAAAAAAAAAAGAAAAGATGAGCAGAAATTGTAATATAGTCCTAACTTCCCTGAAATACTACATTTATCTTTATATTACTGGTTGCATTTCCCTCGTCCCATTTATGGCCTTGGAATGCTGTTGGTTACTGACTGTTTTAATTTATCAATGTAATTAGTGTCTCCCAGTGTCATTTAAAGCATATATATGTACACAAGCGCTGTCAACCATTTTTGCTGTTGATACGATACCATAAAGGCTCCCTATGTCAACTGTCTATCTTCTCTTCTTGTCTACCTGTGTCACAGTTTCGGTGGTATCGTGTTGCTGTTGTTTTTGCTAATATTGATTAGATCAGTAGGCTCGTAAATCGACTAGGTAGGAAATTCATTAGCTCAGCTACCACCAAGTGTATTGACGGTCATGTCAGAAATTGAAGAGAATAGCAATTAAGATATGTTGTAATCTTTCGCTTTTTTTCAATCCTGTTTATCTAATTAAGTTCACAAAAGTCAACATATCTTACTTCGTGTATATTGTATTTAACGTATTAAAAGTAGGCCTTATAGTGTGTTTGTCTGTGTGTGTGTGTCTGTGAAAAACAAGAAAATATCCAATTTTCGTCAAATTATGCATATCCTAACGACATTCTGCATGTCTTTCTGCATGTCATTGTGGGTGAGAGACTTGAAAATTTCTCGTTTCAAGTTATTTATTTAGGGTAATATTAAAACATGGACATTCTTGAAATAATTTTGCAGTCTATTATTCATTCTTGTAGAAGTTGGATCTAATTATCGATGACCTGGTGTTTCACCTTAATTATTCGGCACTAGTGACTTGTTAATGCCCATATACTTACTGGTCATAACAACCAATACCCAGGTGAATTGGAATAGTTGCGATAAAAGGTTGTCTTGTTAAAATTGAGATAACACGTCAGCTGTTTTTAGTTTACTAAGAAAACGATCCCTAGTAAGAAATATGTATGTCTGTTGTGCATTTCTTGTTGAATGTGCAGTTTCTTTCCTATTTAATCATCTTAAGGCATTATTATCTAATACAAGGTAGTTTTCGTCGGTCACATTGAGTTTATATGAATAATTCGAAAAGTTGAGTTGAATTATTCCAAGTCAACATTCGCACTGTTTAATCTGCAAGTCCTAAATTCACTGTGATCTTGTCAGTGAAATTTTGCAGTTCGAATGGCTTCTATCTGACTACTGATTTTGTACATTTATGCTGTTCTTTTGCGAAATATAAACTACTCCCGAAGGTCATACTTATCACTGTTTATCTTTACCTGTATACTTGAGTGTCTCAGGTGTTAGTACACCAGCTTTTTTTCATCATGAGTAAATTCACTTTCGTATAATAAATTTCTTATTATTAAACCTCGAAGTCTTAAATATGATCTCCAATAGGGTTACGGATTTTTCCATTCTTTTGCTCTCCAGGTGGAACTTAAGGCTTCAAGCTTCAGCTTTGAAGTTTTAGTAGCAGTTGCGTCTTTCATGAAGTGGGGTTGCTGGCTTCACGCCTAGTCTTCTCTCTCTACCGGCCTTACTATCGGATAAACGACGTTTGAGTGTGCGTCATCTGAGAATCAAATCTAGGCTATGTGTGCAGCTAGTAAGCATTCTACAACCGATAGACACAAAGTATCGTGGTGACAGCGGGACTCGAACCCAAACCCGTATGTGGACAGGTGCTTTAAACTAGCACCTTAGACTACCTGTCTACTCCTCCCAAAGCTGACCTCATTGGAGGAGGAGATACCGGGAAAATGTCTGTTGAAGATGCTATCTGGAAGGAAAATGAAAGCTTTTTAACTTAACCATTCATCTCAGAGAACACAACTACACCAATATCACCCACCTGAGCTACAAATCTTCTCCACCATACTTGTGTATGTATATGTAGTATGTGTGTTCCTCATAAAGGTGAACGGGCGAATGAGAACTTCTGGCACCTACAACCGGAATGTCGACATCCAGGTCTACCTAGGGGAGCTGGAGAACCCCTTATCGCAAACCATATATAAGCTGCAGAATCCTAAAGGATTTGGTGGCGCATGAACCTGTTTTGGTCACTAAAAACCATGGAGACGCAGTTTCTGACGCTGTTCTACTGACTTGTGGATCAAAATTTAAGTCAAAGGTTTGGGGGAGGGGTGGTACTTTAACATAACCACCTGCTTCTGTTTGGGCGTCCGAGTAGTATCCCAGCCCTCACACAAAATACTGAACAACAATTTCATGAGTGACCATATCCGTGTGACCACTGTTACAGACTACATCTTCAGTCATATATTTAGCAATGCGGTCGTTTTTGAATTTATTTTTACCAGCCTTGCTATTTCCAGTATCTTCGATTTCGTCAGCTTTTTCCTTTGTCTGAAACATCAGTCTATCTCTGTCGTTTCGAGCTGTTATTTAGTAGCCTTCAGAATGCTGACCTACAGTGCAATATCCTACATGGATATCTTGAGACTGAGTATGGTGTCCAAGCTTGCCACTCACAATATTTACCCACCAATGCAAGTCAGACAACCGGCAGGTCTGGTCAGAACATTAGGAAACCTCGCTGTCGATGTCTGTCGCATCTCAGGAATCAGCATTCGAGGCTCCAATGAAGTACCTCGAATATCTTTATTTGCAATTTTAAGTGTTGTGTACCACCTGTGTGGCGTCAGTATTCGGCGTAGGTGGTGTTGGCGTCACACTAAGCGTTTTGAATTGTAGCTGCATAACTGGGCTAGAACTTCACTAACAGTCTTTTGTGTTCTTTTTGGCTAGGACGTTATACCAGAGCTAAAAGCGATTGGTCAGAGAAGCGTTAACTATTTTTAATCTCTGCCTACTCACCGACGGACTGCACCCTGGATGCAATTAACGATGAGCCTCACTATATACTTAGACAGTTTCTGAAGCAGGCATGTCAAGGAAATATCATAGTGTTATTTGGGGACTTGAATGCACATGTTGGGTGTTTAGGGTCAGAGGAGTATGGTCTAGATGGTTAGCAAAGTTTACATAATCGCAGGTCAGACACATACATGATTAGCTCCTTCTGGAGCGCATTTCTAGACTCCGATTACGCCTTATAGTGTTGTAGATTGATCTTGCAATTTTTTAGTCTCTATGATCGGCATCATCTGCAGGTTGATGTAAGTAAATTGATAACGCCTGCTATCTCTGAAAAGTACTAGATTGAGTTGAACTCAAGACTAGCTAGCGACACTGGGTGCACCTGCTAGACGATATGAAAATGGAGAATGAAGCTGCCTTCTGCTTAAAAGGACACTCCGCTAAAAGCCACTAGGTTTCCGCAAGTTACTTGTAACTCGTGAATAAGCACCGATTCATTCCAACAAATAGCATGCACTAAGCGCTATGCTCAAGATCAAACGGCGTTTACCTGAGAATAGCGGAACCTGGGGTTTGGAATGTGCGCGTGAAGTGTAATCAGCAGCTACGTCTGGTACGCTGATTACTAACCTGAAAAGACGCCTAGAACGCTGAGCAGAGCGATTCGAGAAGCAGTTAGGCTGGCCAGTGGCACCAAGGTTCAATATCAACTACAAGTCATACGTTTGCAGGCGCAGCATCCATCACGACATTTTTAATATGGGTCTCTCGCTGTTCTCAGGAACTGTAGCGGCTTGTGATCAGTTTCGATGTACAATCAGATTAAAATGTGTTGCGGAAGCACACACTACACAATTCAGTTAAATTATATCTCCTAAATGTTCTACCCTCAAGACAACAGCATGAGTTATTTTATAGTCTAAATTATTTTTGCAAAAAAAATATATTAACCATTAACTTAAAAGTAGTAGTTGATTTGTAATTAACGCACATCTACAGACTATTAAGTATACTCCTTTAAGAAAGCATTTCTAAAACAATCCATCCACTGTATACATCGATGAAACGACTGAAGTTCGGAAGAACAACGCATCCTAACTTCTGACGTTTCAAGGGTTAGCTTAATTGGACTATTTTAAAAATAGTGAGATTTTATAATAGATTTCAGGTATTATTATACATGTGACTTTTATAGATTCAATCACATTTTCATTCGTAATTAAAGGTTGAATGAAATACTGGATTAGTTTGTGGAGTTTATGCATAAGTTTGGATTAAGGTGACTGTACATAGAGTGATATACAGAATGTCTTACAAGAAACGTATGTTTATATATATATATATATATATATATATATATATATATAGAGAGAGAGAGAGAGAGAGAGAGAGAGAGAATTCTATATGAAACTAATTAATTGCCTATTTAACTGTTACATAATTCTAAGTATGCCAAATTCATAAATTTGAAATGTAATTATTGTAGGCCCAAATCTATCTAGCGTGAATAATTAGCTATTTGATTGACTGCCTTTAATGAACTAATGGTTGACTGACTGGTTAAGTGCGAATAGCCAAACTTAAAAATGTTAAGCGTGATTGAATATTATAGTGAGACAAGTGAGTTAGAATGCTGTCGGAGATCATAACTGAATTTATTGGATCCATTTCACCTTCCATTGATCTTGATAACGGCAATTTCCTCTCCCAACTTTTATTTAAGATAGATGTGGAAGATATTGTTGTCTTTCTTCCTGTCACACTGATTATCACTGACATTTGAGATTTTAGACTGTTTCTCAACTTAAAAAAATCTGTGTTTTTTTCAGGTTCATTATTATAGCTAATAAAATTATTTCTGGGCGTCAGTAAATTGCTTGAATTCATTGTTATTATGTTAGTCATGGAATTTCAAAGCCTAAACCGTAGTAGGACTTAGTGTCTCTGGATAAACAGTCGCCTGCTTCACTAACTTATATATGAAACCCAACTGTTGATCAAATGTTAGTCTCATATTATCCACGGGAAATTTAGCCTACTTGTGGTGTGAATGAATGACGTGTCACTACGTGTTTATCATAATTCTACTGTTTGGAATAAGGCTGTATGTTTATTATTATTATCATTGTTACTGCAATTAGCTTACTGACTTCATCTCATGCCATTTCAAATATTAGGTCGTTTTAATGGAGAAGATGGTTAACTTAAATTCAAAATATGAAACTTAGTCGGAAGAGGGTTTGGCATCTATGCAACAAACGTCCCACAGTGCGTGACCCATATTTTCTTTTCAAATTCCGTCATTGCCAGAATATACTGATACTAGTCTGTTATACTTAACCTGTTTCTACTAGTCAACTAATAAAGAATTCATAGCTTTGTTTCATTTCTAATCTAAAAAATGTATATAAACATAGGACGAAACAGCTGTCCAGTGCTCCCAGCCGGTTTTCCAATGGTTCTCTAACCGACGTCAGCTCATGATGAAATCCTGAAACCAATCAAATCCCTGTGAACCAACACTTGAATATCAATTTGGTGCTCACTAGCGACTGGGTCTATTGATTTAGATAGTAACCTGGGTTCTAGTGAGAACTCGTGACCATTGGGATACAGCAAGTTGGGTGTATGGACAAATACTCACCGATAACATTCGCTAGTGATAGCACTATATCGTGAATTGGTAGAAGTTGGAATTCATGTACTGGCCATTGGATCCAGTCACAGTGGCTTAATGATCTACGAGCTCGCCTTGTAACCAGAAGTTCCTGGGTTCGAACACCGGTGAGTGCAAACTGTCGAAGTGGAATCCCAAACTAAGACGAAACAGCTGTCTAGTACTCCCAGGCTTTCCAATGAGTCTCCAACCGATGTCATCTCATGATGAAATTCTGACACCAATCAAATATCTGCAGACTAACATTTGAGTATACAGATATTGTGAAAAGTATCAGGACAATATCTCATTCAATAATTCCAATTTTAATATTAAAACAAAATACTTGTCTGAAAAGAAATACATCTTATCAAAAAATTCATTGTCATTATTATTTTACTCTCGCATATTTATAATGCTTGATCTCTCACAGCCCTGAAGACAATTTAACTGATGAGGCACAGTAGTAAAAATAATCGGATCTGTAATCAATAAAATGTCTGTAATTCATAATGAATTAGTTGAAATAGAGTAAGTTTTT